GGCTGTGGCCGCGCGGTGCGTGTTCAGTAGCACGTGAAAGGGGACGTCTGGTAGCTCCAATGCTGCCAGCATCGTCAAAGAGCACCGCGCGTGGGCATTGAAGAGCTGCTGGTTCGGGTCGCGGCGCCCGAACGGTGCGGTGGGCAGCGTCTCGGCCTCGTTGAGGCGTGCGTGGAGCTCCTGTGCGGCGCGGGGAGGCGCGTGCTGCGTTGTGGCGGTGGCCCCGTAGAGCTTCGTGAAGAACGGGAAGGCTTCCTCGTGCAGTGGCCCTCGCGCGGCGAGTGCGGACACGAGGGATCGGCGTGCAACGGCAGTGGCCGCTTTGCAATCACGGATGCGGCTTCTGCACGGTTGTCTCCAGAGCTGAAGTTTGCCACAATGCATGTTGTAGAGAGTGCGGATCTCCGCTGATTGGAGTGTCCTTCTACTGGCAGGTATGCCTTGCAACTGATTCGCCGGTCTAAGCAACTTCGCAAGTGCTTCGCTGCCGTCGTCGTCTGCAGCCGTCTAGCGTTTAGGTCGTCTGAGCTCCTGCACCTTTTAGACCATGGCTCGTCGTAGCTCTGCAAGATCATCGGCGCTCGATCCATACTGAAGGATGCTGCGTTGAATGTGTTCGGGTCGCGTCGCAAGAGGAAGTGGTGGCACTGCTGCCGCTGGTGTTGGCGCGGTTGCTGCTGCGCCAGGTTGTGCGGTACTGCTATTGGTGGCGACATCTCCCTGCAAGCTGCTCATCCCTGCGGCGAAGGCTGTAAGCCGCTGCTGCTTCGTCGGTGGGCCGGGCTGCGCAGCGCTGGCGTTGCGCCCCATGAGTCCGGGCAACGTAGAGCTAGAAGTCGCCGCTGCCCCTGCTTGCTGGCTGCCAGGCTGCGCAGCGCCGGCAGAACTGTCGGAGTTGCGCGGGTGGCCCCGCAGGATGTTTACGATGGAGTTGTCTCGCTGCCGCTTGGCAGGTACGCCAGGCTGCGCAGCGCTCGCCTGCGCATCGGTGCGCGGCGACCGTGTCGAGCTGGAGCTCGTTCCGGCCCCCCGTGGCTGGCTCTCTGCTGTGGAGAGCAAGCCCGCGCGGCGACCCTGATGGACCAGGCTGTGCAGCGCTGGTCTCGTCGCGGGGGCGCGGTGCTTCATGCGCTGCTGCTGCGGGTTTGTCACTGCCTTGGAGTGCCGCGCCGAGTGCTGCTGAGGCGGAGCCCGACGAGGCTCTTCCCCGGGGCACTTTGTCTGCGCGGCCAGGCTGTGCAGCACTGACGCTGTGGAAAGGTCGTCTACCTGTGCGCCCAGCGACAGCAGGCTGTTCAGCACTGCTCACGGCTCCTGCAAGTGCTGCAGGCTGTTCAGCACTGCTCGCACTGGGATCAACACTGCTCGCGGCTCGTGCAAGAGCTGCAGGCTGTTCAGCACTGCTTGCGGGGGCTCCGGTCTGGCCATCGAGGCTAGCTCGGAGCTGCTGCCTTCGGTGATGACCGCCTGCTACAACTCAGTGAACAAAGTCGCTAATGGTCGGCGTCGTCTCTGATCTGTCTGTCGCACATTCCATGAAGAGCAGAGAGGGGACACCTCTTCCTGTCGAGGGTCGGGCGTCTTCGCGAGCACCGAAACTGCCGCGCGCAGTTTTTGAAAGTCTGGTGCGTTACACGCAGCACCTTGCACAGTGAAGCACCGATTCACGGCCGCGATGGAACTGAACGTCTCTGCAGGTTGTTCAACGCTGCTTGGAACATTGTGCTGTGCAGGATGCGCAACACTGCTTGCTGGGTCTCGTGCCTCGCCACTCGAGGTCCGTGAGAATGCCCGCATGACGCAATGCACTGCTGCGCTCTCCTGCGTTGCTCTGCGAGTCACGGAATTGGGCTGAACGGCAACGAGGATGAAAAGGTATTACGACGCGGTGCTGAACAAATACAAGCACACACACACACGCACACACACATGCAGCATTCCACATGGGTGTCATGTATATATATATATATATACACATATGTTTGCATATATAGAACGACATTTGGGACATGCGGTACTACGTCGGGTGTCATGTCTCCCGGCCGGTGCTACGTGCGAAACCTTCATGGATCCTAAGGGCCCAAGCTGCCCCACTGAGGGCTCAAGATGGCCCACAGACGGACAACATGCATGGAACATACGTGCGCACACACACATAAGTATATACATACATATATGTATAGCAGCAGCAATAGTGGATGCTGTGCTACGCTGTGCTAGGCGATGATATGTTATGCTATGCTGTCCTCTGTTATGATGCGCAATGCTATGCTGGGCTAGGCTAGGCTGGGCTAGGCGATGCTACCCTAATATGCGTTATGTTTTGCTGCGCTATGCTATGCTATGCTATGCTTTTGCTTTGCCTTCGCTTTTCCCTTTGATTTTGCTTTTGCTGGGCACACAGGGAGCGCAAATGAGGGAACCGCGCGTTTGCTTTTACCTTTGGTGTTGCTTTTGCTTGGCTCCCATGGGGACTGGGGGAACCGCCCGGGGCGGTTTGCACTGCCCGGTCCCTTTAAGCCAAGCGAGTAAGAACCTTTCTAGGCAGAGTCTAGGTAGCGAAAAAATTAGAGGGGCATGCCCGGCTTCAGTCTCGAGGACCTACTGTAAATTCAAGTTCTACAATTCCTTATTTTGTTTCATGCCCTGCCGTCATCGCTCGAGTGATCGTCGAAAACCTAGTTTTCAAAAATGTGCACGGCTATCTTCCCCCACCTCCTGTTCCTCTTCCTCCCCCTTCTCCTCCTTTTCTCCCTCCTCCTCCTCCTCCCCCCCCCTGGCGGAGGTTGCAAACCGATAAATTTGGAGAAATGTTTGGGGGAAGATTTGCGGGAAAATCTGAGGGAGGAAGATCTTGGGAAAGATCTGGCGGAGGATCCGGCGAAAGATCTGACGGAAGATCTGGCGGAAGATCAGGAGGAATTTTTGGGAGATAGTTTTGGCGGAAGATTTGGAGGACGATATGGCAGAAGATTGGGAGGAAGATCTGCCGGAAGATTTGGTGGAACATTTGGCAGAAGATTTGCGGGACGATCTCGCGGGAGATTTAGAGGATCAATCTGGCGGAAGATTCTATAGCGGAAGATTTGGCGGAACATTTGGAGAAAGATTTGGCGGAAAATTTGGCGGAGGATTTGGCGGAAGATGTGGCGGAAGATTTCGCGGGAGATTTGGAGGATCAATTTGCCGGAAGATTTGGCGGAAGATTTTGAGGAAGATTGGGCGGAAGATGTGGCGGAACATTTGGCGGAATATTTGAAGGATGAATCTGGCGGAAGACAGCGGAAGATTTGGCGGAAGATTTGGAATATGACTTTGGCGGAAGATGTCGCAGAAGATCTAGCGGAAGTTCTGGTTGAATATTTGGGGGAAGATTTGTCGGAAGATTTTGAGGGAAATTTGGAGGAGAAAATTGGCGGAAGCTCCGGCGGAAGCTTCTGACGCCTCGTCTTTCTCCAGATATTCCGCCAAATATTCCTCCAGATCTTCCGCCAGATCTTCCGCCAGTTTTATCCTCCAGATTTTCCGCCAGATCTTTCGCCAGAGCTTCCTCCAGATCTTCCGTCAGATCTTTCGCCAGATCTTCCGCCGGATCTTACGCAAGATCTTCCGCCAAATCTTCAGCCAGATTTGCATTCCAGATCTTCCGCCAGATCTTCCGCTATATTCTCGGCCAGATCTATCCTCCAGATCTTCCGCCAGACCTTCCTCCAGATCTTCTGCCAGATGTTCCTCAAGATCTTCCGCCAGATCTCCTGGCAGATCTTCCGCTAGATGTTACGTGGGATCTTTCGCTAGATCTTCCACCATATCTTCCTCCAGACATTCCGTCAAATCTTTCTCCAGATCTTACGCGAGATCTTCGCCAGATCTTCCGCTAGATCTTCCCCGAGATCTTCCGGCTGATCTTCCGCCAGATTCTCCTCCAGAGTTATATTCCACATATTCCGCCAGATTTTCCGCCAGATTTTCCGCCAGTTTCATCTTCCAGTTTTTCCGCCAGATCTTCCGCAAGATCTTCCGCCAGTTTCATCCTCCAGATCTTCCGCCAGATCTTCCGCAAGATCTTCCGCAAGATCTTCCGCCAGATATTCCGCCAGATCTTCCGCCAGATCTTCTGCTAGATGTTCCGCGAGATCTTCCGCTATATTTTCCTCCAGATTGATCTTCTAAATCTTTTGCGCGATCTTCCGCCGGATCTTCCGCCGGATCTTCCGCCAGATGTGCCGCCAGATCTTCCTCAAGATCTTCCGCCAGATCTTCCGACAGATCCTCCGCCAGATTTATCCTCCAGATTTTCCGCGGGATCTTCCGCCAGATTTTCCGCGCGATTTTCCGTCAGATCTTTCGCCAGATTTTCCGCCAGATGTCCCGTCAGATCTTCCTCCCTCAGATATTTCCGCAATTATTCCCGAAACATTCCTCCAGATTTATCGCTTTGCAACCGCATCGAGTCTTCCTTTGGACACTCCCCAGATCTCTCGACAGATTTGTCCCAGATCTTCCTCCTGCTGCTCCAGGGTGTTCCGTGCTTTGTTGTATGCCGCGTCGCGGGTCCGCTTCTTGTTCTTTGAATTCCTAGTTTTGTTGTCTGCTGTGCTTCGGGGCTACAATCTCTACGGGACAACCTAGAACACTAAATCTCTTATGTCTAGAGATCTTTGTTGTTTAAAGAAATATCCCTGTACACATGTATATATATATATATATGTATACATGTGTACAGTATACTTAACGATGCTTGCATCGTGTAAGAATACATATATGTACGTATGTATGGATAGATATAGATGTGTTCACATAGATATTGGTATCTAATCATATGGTTCGACAGCTACATATATAGAGAGGGAGAGAGAGAGGGAAAGAAAGAGAGAGAGAGAGAGACGACTCTGACTGTTAAATCCGTTCGGGCGTCCACATGGCCAAACGTGCAGCCCCACCCGACAGGAGGGCAGGGCGACAAGGGTGGGCCGCAGATGCCGCCCGCGCGACACCAGGCGATCAACCAGAGCCTCCTGAGTAGCATCAGCCAGGCCTGCGAGGAAGAGGACGATGAAGGGATGGAGATGAGGGCATCATAAAGGCGAGGGGGGAGCAGGAGGAGCAGAAGGAGGGAGGGGAGGGGGGGTTCCACCTTGGGGAGAGTGCGGGGGGCAGCGATCTTCCGAGGGCTGCCGTGGCGTCGCGGTCCCTGGTGTCTGCTGGCCACCGTCCCCCCAGGCTCCCGGAGGTCCTGCCCACCTCCGGTGCCCCTGCGCTCCCGCCCCCGCTGTGGTGTGTGGCGCCTGCGGGAACAGTGCCAGCAGCCGTGTCCTGGCCCCGCTCCCGGCCCCCTGCAGAGGCAAGCCCAGCGAACACGGAGGGCGGACTCTGAAGCAGCTGGCCCAGGGCTTTCTGCCTGGCACCCGTGAGGCTGCGACTCGCTCGACCAGGCGTGTTGAGTTGGTGTGGCTGGTCTTTTTTCCCCGTTCGGTGTTCGTGGGCGACCATGTTCTGTTGCAGGGTCTCGAGGAGGAAACGACGGGGGAGTACGGGGTAAACTTGTGCGGCCCCTGCGCTCGCCGCGCTGGTGTCGGCAAGCCGCGCGGAGGCGGCGAGTTGTCGCTCTGGTCGAAGAAAGGGGGGCCCGCTGCTTAGGGTCTCTTAGCAGGGTCCATTTCGGTCCGGTCGATCCGAATCGATGTTGGTGTTGGTCAGTTCGATTCGATTCGATTCGAATTAGCGTTGAGTAATGGGGGAGGCGAGAAATGGATGGGTGACGAAAAAGCCATGCGTTCCGTTTACCTTTGGGGTCCTAAAGAGGCCCTCTGGGGTTGATCAGGGGCACGAAAGGTGCACGTTCCTTCGTCCCCCAATTTACAGCCCTCCCCATTAAGCAACGCCCAATCCAATATGCGTCGATTCGACGCGACCAGACGTTTGCATGGCGTTGTCGTGCATCCTGGCTCAGCCGATCCGATTCGATATCGCCTCCGTGCCGATGCCGCCCGATCTGGTGCAAGTTCGGGCCCGGTCCAATGTATCGATTCGATGCTAACTGCTCCTGCGTTGACGCGGCGGCGACCACAGCGCGGGCGATCAAGGCTGAACGTCGTTGGTGGTCGGAATCGGCCCATATATCGAACGATTTGCGTTCGGAAAGCCGCGGTCTCTAAAGATTGACCGATCCGCGCCATGATAGGAAATCCGACGTGAATTCACCGTAGGGGTCCAGGGGTGAGGTCGAGGCCAATGCTCTGAGAGAGCGCGTTTGAATACTTCCCCAGAGCGTGTTTTGGCGAAGGTTTGATTGAATCCTCCCATTTGAGTCCTGGACCCCACCTCCCCCGCTTGGCCTTGAAAGCCAGTCGGCTACGGCGAGCTTCGAAGCGAAGACGACGACCCCCCACCACTCTTGCGAAGCATACAGACAGCGGCGATGGGGACCCCAGGGTCCCTGGAAGCAAGTGTCATCCCTGGGGCCGCCTGGGCCCTCCTGGGGCTGGAGCAGTCCCGGAGCCGCACCGAACACACTCGGAGCAGCCCTGGGGCCCAACCTCCCTCCGGCGCACTCCCGGGGGGGCGGCGCGTGGCGTCGCGAGGCCGTGCGCTGCCCACCCCCGGACGGTGCGCGGCCTGCATGCCAGCTTTGCTGCGTGCTGCCCCCTCGCTGCCCTCCCCGGACGGTGCGCGGCCCACCTTCGCAGGCCCCTGCAGCCGATGAGGTGCCCCCCTCCCGTCGCGCGCCGTCCTCCCCAGCCGGAGCGCGGCCCTCCCCTCCCCCCGCGCGCCGCCTTCCCCGGGCGGTGCGTGGCCCCCTCGGCACTCACAGGCAGCTGCGCCGCTTAGGTGCCCCTAGACTGGCCACGCGCTGCCCTCCCCGGGCGGCGCGCAGCTTCTCATGGGCCTGTGGCTATACAGCTTTGTCAACGGTAACTGCGCCGCTTATAGGTGCCCCTAGACCGACCATGCGCTGCCCTCCCCGGACGGCGCGTGGCCTTCAATCCCAGACATCCGACGTCTCGATTTCTTCGAGACGCGGGCCCCCGACCTCCAGACCACTTCCCCGGGACCGGTTTTTCGTCCCGAGTCGTTTTTTGACGCTCCCGGGGCCCGGCGAGGGCCCCGAGGGGCCAAAAACTATGCCAAACCTCTGCCTCGACGTTTTCGAGACCCCCGATGTCTGGGACGGCCTCTGCCACGGTGTTGCTCCAGGCCGCGGCGTGTGGCGCGCCGCGCCCTTGGCACGGCGGAGGTGCCCCCCCCCCCCGCCCGGCGGCAGCGCCGCCGGGGCTGGGCCGCCGGGCGCCGGCGCCCCCGCCGGCCGCGGTTTTCCCGCGGGCGGGGCGGTCCTCCGTCTTGCCTTGGGTCGGGCCTGTCCCTCGACACTCAGGAGGGATCATCCTCGGGGGGCCTCGCCTGTCCCCCAAAGGGATGTCTTCTCTTGTGCGCGGCGCGGGCTCGATGCGGCCTCGACGCGGATTTGGCGCGGATGCGACGCGGACTCGACACGGACTCGACACGGGCCCGACGAGTCCGGCGTGGAGTCGACACGGATTCGACGCGGATAGGGGCGGGACGGGACAGACAAGACCCCCCGAAGATGCAACATAAGGAAAGAAACACACAGACACAATTAATCCTCGATTCCCCGGGGAATATAGGAAAATATGGGGAGTGGGGGGGGAAGACAAAAATCCAGAAAATATTGCTTAATATGGGGAATAGTTTGATCTCTGTGTATTTGTGTGTGTGTGTGCGTGTGTGTGTGTGTGTGTCCTGGGGCCCCTTCATACATGTGGGGAATATTCAAAAGTAGTGACAACAAAAATAGTCTGGGGTTATGTCTGGACCATGTTCGAGCACTCTTAGAATACACGTGGTGTGTGTTCAATTTTTCGTCCAAAATCGGCCTGTAGGGGGGCAGGCCCGACCTAAATCTTGCCCCTCCTTCCCCTTCGCCCCGCTCCTTTACTTCCTTCCCTCCCTCTGCGCGCCGCCATGGCGCCGCTCGCTGCAGCCCCTGTGCAGCATCCCATGGCTGAGGTGCCCGTGGACACTGCGCTACGCCGCAGCCCCTGCCCTCTGCACCCAGCGGGCACAGCATTCTGCTGTTGGCAATATCGTCACTTGCAGTATCTCGGCGGCCCATATCTCGACGCCTTCGTTGTGCTTGCTTGCATCAGTTCTTCCGCGTACTGGGCAACGGTAGCGACCGTGGATGCACCCACGCCGCAGCTCGGCCGCTGCCACGGTCCCCGCTGCCGCTGCTGGCCGCGCCAGCGCGCTCGGGCTGGAACTCTTCCACATATGTATGTCATTTGCTTTCCCCTTCCTCTGCGGCCGCTCTGTCTGTCTCGCCCCTCCTCCTGCACACTGGCCAATTCTCTTTTCGGTTGCCCCAAATCGTTTCCCGCTGGCTGTGTACCTCTGCCTCGCCGCCGGCGTGTCAAGCGTCTTCGGGGAAGTTCCCCGCGCACTCCTCGGAAGGCCGGAGGACGTCCGAGCCTTCTGACCAGGCCCGCCCCTTCTCACTCCACCCCCGTGCTCGCCGCCGAGAGGGGAGCTCGCCCTCGCCTGCAATAGGAGAACAAACACATGAAATATACATAAAAACTCGGAGATCCGCGCGGATTTCTCGGATCGGCGCTGGGGCCCCGACCAAAAACATGAAATACACGTAAAAACTCGGAGATCCGCGCGGATATCTCGGATCGGCGCTGGGGCCCCCCCCTGGCGGCGCCTCCGGCGCAGCCCCTGGAGCGCTCCGCGCGCCAGGGAAGGGGGGGTCCAGCGTCGATCCGAAAAATCCGCGCGGACCTCAGAGTTTTTATGTTTATGCGACTTCTTGTTCCCCTATTGCAAGAGGGTTCATCGGACGGGGCGAGGCCGAGGATGAATCCGCCCCAGCGCCGCGGCCTTCTCAGAGCGTCGCCCTCGCCGTCGTCGGGCGCCGCGGCCTTCTCGGAGCGTTCCGGAGCGCTCTGAGAAGACCGCCCGAGGCATCCTCCCAAGCGAAACCCAGAACCCAGTTACGGGAAGTGGGGGGGAAGACGGAAACCCCGAAAATATGGGAAACTATGGTGAATCCTTTTATTTGTGTCTATTGATGTGTGTGTCCCAGGGCCCCTTCGGTAATGACATTCGGCGGCGAGCGAGGGGGGCAAGTGAAAAGGAAAGTGCCTTCTCGGGATCCAGGCCTCCTAGGTGGGTTCGGAGCAGATGAGGTCGGCGGATCGTGCCGCGCATCGCCGATACATTGCCGATGTATCGGCGGTGCGTCGAGATCTCCCGACCCCATCCAGGAGGCCTCTACGGAAGGTTGCGGGACTTCTCAGAAGCCTTCGCGCTTTCTGAGAAGTCTTCAGTGCCTTCGTGGAAGGCGCAGACAATTTCTCTGAAGGCGTGGGGACTTCCGAGCCTTCTGAGAAGGCTCGCCCCTTCTCATTTCTGCCCCTCGCTCGCCCCCGAAACATACACCTAAGCTGTCCAAAGTCTGCACGGATTTTTTGGATCGGCGCTGGGCCCCCCTGGCGGCGTTTCCGGCACCGACCCCTGGCGCGCTCCGCGCGCCATAAAGTGGGGACCCAGCGCCGATACAGGCAGTCCGTGCGAACCTCCGATGTGTGTTTATGTCCAGGGCTCCACCGAAACGGTGTTTGGGCGATTGAAAGCGAAAACAAGATGAAAACGAAAAACACGTGTTCGTTTTCTTATTCCTTGTTTTGCCGATCGGCGCGGGCCCTCGTCCCCCCTTCCCCCCCCCATGAAGTGGATCTTGGCTGTTTTGGGCGTCTGTTTCGAGCAGATAGGACGCACTGTTGTAAACAGTCGCGCCAAGCAGAAGTTCGGAGCCAGACACCCCCCTCCCCCCCTTCCGCCCAATGTCGAAACGCCGAATAAGAAAGCGTTTACCTGTGCTTATTCGGTGGCTAGCATTGAACCCGTACCCCCACTTATGGCTCGTTTCAATCATTTCTGCCTGGGTTTCTGGGTAGAGTGCCTGGCCGCATGATCCCGTTAAGCTCGAGTCTGGCGGGGGGGGGGCGGGCTT